TTCTTACTTGCATCGGATGATGCTTCAAGCATTAGATACCGGCGCACAAGTAGTGCTACAAAAATGTTTATCAAATGAAAATAGTAATTTCCGGTTCCGGTTCTTTCTGATTCCGGCTAGAAGAGAAATTGCCATATTTTATCTTTCGTTGCCGTGAAAATGAGCGAAAGTAATCCAGTGAAATCAGTTTCAGAGAATGAAAATCAAACAGATGTCTGCCTTGCTGGTAGTCATGCAGTTCCTGCCTTATTGGATGGGAAGTTTTTTGCAATTGTGAAGAATGAAAATGGCTCTGTAAAGGCCAAATGCTGTCTGTGTTCAAACGAAAGAATTTTGAGTGGCAGTTTGAATGCGACATCGAATTTTCTAAAGCACTTGCGGGTAAGTACAAGTACTGTACTGTAGTAGTGTACTTAGAGAATGTCATCAGAATTATGAATGATATTATGCAATAAAACATGTAAATTTATTTGATTTGATTTGTAATGTAATGCAATAGCGTATTTATATAGCGCCCCCTCTAACATAGTTACTCGGCGGCGCTGATTTAAATTTGCTGTGTCAAAGTTACATAACTTACATGTAATATATTATTGATTGTAAACCGAGCCACCGACAGGAGGCTCGGTTTACAATCATGACAGTTCTCAGCTGTCATGCACGCCGTCCGGCCGTCCGTCACGTTCGTGATCACCTTGATATCTCAGTCACTTATTAACGGATATCGATGCGGTTTGAACCGTCGAACTCAGCGAAGAAGATGTGTAACAGTGTAAGAATCAAATGCATTTTAAAAATTCTAAATGAAATTAAAATTTTTTTTACAGACTGTTCATAAAGATTGCTTGGAGGATTACAATAACTACCGCAATGAGGTGGCAGCATCTTCAAGTTCAGTGCGTGAACGAAAACGGAAAACCGTTGCAGCGCCATCTGCTGTATCTTTAAAGCACGCTCGGCAGCAGACTATTGAACAGACTGTTCGTGGAAGTTCTCAGGCTGCTGCGGATCAACTGATCACGAAATACATCGTCATGGGCATGCGTCCGCAAACAACCGTTGAAGAACCCGAGTTCAAGGCTTTAGTGGCTGGACTGTGTAAGATGAATACGGAGGTTGTGGTAATGTCTCGTAGGACCCTCGGCAGGCGTTTAAATGAAATAGAGTTGCAAATGATCGAGAAATTGAAGCAGGTTCTGTCTGAGCAAACTTTTGTATGTACTACAGCCGACATATGGTCGTCAAATCGTCGAAGTTTTCTCGGTGTTACTGCTCACTGGATAAATATCTCAAGTCTTTCTAGAGAATCAGCAGCTTTAGCTTGTCGTAGGTTTCCTGACAGTCACACATATGACCGTATAGCAGAATTACTATACGATGTGCATGAAAATTTTGGCATTTCCAACAAAGTTTGCCTTACTGTAACTGATAATGGATCAAATTTTGTTAAAGCTTTTGAGCAGTTTGGTGTTAAAATCGAGAAGAGTGATGATATTGAGGAAAATGATGATATTGAGTTTGAAGATGTCGGAAATATTTTGGCTAACCCTCTATCAATCCATGATGATGCTGATAGTCACGATTATGATATTTCTCACACCTCTCTTCCTCAGCATCACAGATGCAGCAGTCACACACTTAGCTTGATAGCTACTACGGATCTTGCCAATATAGTTGCAGACAATCATCCGTACACGTGATCTATGTTTCATGTCCATTTTGTTTATCGGTAAAGTAATGTGACAAATCTTATGTCAACTTACAGTCTGTCTGGTTCAATGTTTGTAGACTTTAATTTATCCACTATCGGATCAAGTTGAAACTTCACACACGAGTATTTATTGTACCTAACAAAGCATGAATCCAAAAAAATGAATAAATACGTTTATCAGTTTGGTAATTAATTGATTTGTTTAGTATCGAATAAGGGAAATAGATGCTACTTATTGAGATATGTGGCTGTATATATGGAGTTATTTCACTCATTAAATTTTGTACACGTTTTTTGTTTTTTTTCTCATTTCCCATTCTCGGATAAAGTTGGAATTTTACATAGTTATAGTTGATGACAACGCATGAATCAATCAAAATATTAACGTTAATTAATCAATTAATAGTAAATAAATAATTTTATTTTATAAGGGAGCTTATGGCAGTGATATTGAGGTTCTTTCCCTTAGATAAACTGTGTTTTTTTATTATTTTTATTTTAATTCTTTGCTTGTTAAGTTATTGGATTGAGTGTTTCTTCAGTGTGTCACGTGACTTTGATCTATCTAATTGATAGTGTGAACAAGACAACACACACCCAACGTGCCACTATGACATTATCCTTCGCCCATGACAAAGTGAATTGTTCTAGCGCCACCTGTCAATGTAATGCATCTTGAACATGGAACAGAAAGTGCTCGTTCCATGAGTCTTCATCAACATCATTTAGTTATGAACATTTGCAGAGGCCATAACTCGAAGCCAGGTAACATATTACAGATGGTCATCCGTTTGTCACTGGTACTTAGTCGTGTCTATCAGTTGAACATTGTTCCCAACGTTTCTCAAATCTTTGACCTTCAAGCCACACTTCGACACGCTGCGAACAGAAGTAGTTACCTAGTTAGTAGATTAAAAAGCAATTAATAATCTTCCTCTTCCCAGCAGTTCAAAGGGCTAGGCTCATCCATTGTCAACGAGGGTGTCACGTACCCAGTTCAACGATTAGCCGCCGTTTCTTTCCCATCTCTGTAGGGTATTGATTGAACACGAGGATATTCCTGTAATGAAAAGATAAAAAAGAAATATAAAAAAAATAAAACTTTTTCAAACCAAAGCTTAAGGGGAAATAACCGCTAATTAACCATTTATCTGAAAATTACAGGGTTTAGCTTCCTTTCAGATATATATAAAAAAAATGAATTAATTAGTACTAAATTATTTACCAATTAGTTAAGTTTTGGATTGATGCGTGTATTGTTATCGACTATGAAAAATTCTGCAAAATTTTAACTTGATCCGAGAAAGGGAAGTGGAAGACAAAAAAGGTGTCACAACGTAATAGTGTGGGACTAAATCCATATATATATATATATATATATATTTACATCTCTCAGTATGTAGCATTTAGTTCCCTTATTATAAACTACTTGGCCAATCCATCTACCGTAATAATGTATATAAGTTTGAAGAGAAGTTAAGTCATAACACGGAAATAAAGTATATTTCCTGCTCTCTGTTGTCATGGAGATGTCGAGGTTGGATGGAGCCGACGATCAGAGGCCGAGTGTGAGGCTTTTTGGAGCGTCAAGTTCATAAACTAGTCACTAACTAGTGCCTAACCAAAAGACTCAGTCAAACCAAGATTTGCGTGATTCGCGAGGAATTCTATAGGAAGTGTTTTTATTCTGTTTCATTGCAAACTGCAAAAAGTAACTCCAAGAAGAACTAGGGACAAAAAGGTGTGAGGGATACTTGGCGGACAAATAACATGCCATCTTATAATCTTGTTGTTGTTGTTGTTGTTGTTGTTTTGCAGCTCATTAAAGTTAGTGCTCTAAAAAAACAACATTTCGACCTAAAAAGATTAGCAAAGATTAATCTGGTAAATATTGTTGGCCTTTATTATACTCTTTGAAATTAGTGAGAAAATTAATAAATTCTTTTTCTTAAATGTTGAATTTAAATTAAAACAAAATAAATAAACGAATCATTTTTAGTAAACTTTCTATTGTTTATTCTCAAAATCAATGCAGATTGTCTGACCTAAATATTTTGTTTCTTGCGTGTCTTTTTTAGTTGTTTCTAATTTTGTCTTTGGTCTTGACTCACAAATTATAAAAGTAATTTCTAGCTGCTGTCTTCAATGCAGTTTGAGAACTGCTGGCTTTTTCTTTCTTGTACTTTGTAATGTAATAGTACAGTTTGATTCTTAAGTTAAATGAATCACAGCCAACTTTTAATTCCGTTGTCAATTTTTAAGAATGCAAACCAACGTAGAGCGAGACCGTTCCATCATGAGACTTCTACCAACGTCGACATTAGACTATAATGAGAATCAATGAGAGAATCATTCACATAGGACAAGAAGGGGTGGGAACTCTGATGTAATATGTTCAGCTTGCGTTGTTACAATTGACACTTTTGAAATGTAATTATCTTGTGTATTATTGAATTACATCTGCAGGACATCACTTAAAAACATAGTTGGTGATCATATTTGAATGTGTTTCTTGTATGTATGACATCTCCTGAAAACATAACTGACAATCATATTTGAATGTGTTTCTTGTATGTATGACATCTCTTAACAACATAACTGACAATCATATTTGAATGTGTTTCTTGTATGTATGAAATCTCTTAAAAACATGACTGACGATCATATTTGAATGTGTTTTTTGTATGTATGACATCTCTTAAAAACATAACTGACAATCATATTTGAATGTGTTTTTTTGTATGTATGACATCTCTTAAAACCATAACTGACGATCATATTTGAATGTGTTTCTTGTACGTATGACATCTCTTATAAACATATCTGACAATCATATTTGATTGTGTTTCTTGTATGTATGAAATCTCTTAAAAACATGTCTGACGAGCATATTTGAATGTGTTTTTTGTATGTATGACATCTCTTAAAAACATAACTGACAATCATATTTGAATGTGTTTTTTTGTATGTATGACATCTCTTAAAACCATAACTGACGATCATATTTGAATGTGTTTTTTGTATGTATGAAATCTCTTATAAACATATCTGACAATCATATTTGATTGTGTTTCTTGTATGTATGAAATCTCTTAAAAACATGACTGACGAGCATATTTGAATGTGTTTTTTTGTATGTATGACATCTCTTAACAACATAACTGACGATCATATTTGAATGTGTTTCTTGTATGTATGAAATCTCTTATAAACATATCTGACAATCATATTTGAAAGTGTTTCTTGTATGTATGACATCCCTTAACAACATAACTGACAATCATATTTGAAAGTTTTTCTTCTATGTATGTATGAAATCTCTTAAAAACATATCTGACAATCCTATTTGATTGTGTTTCTTGTATGTATGAAATCTCTTAAAAACATGACTGACGATCATATTTGAATGTGTTTTTTTGTATGTATGACATCTCTTAAAAACATAACTGACAATTATATTTGAATGTGATTTTTGGATGTATGACATCTCTTAAAACCATAACTGACGATCATATTTGAATGTGTTTCTTGTATGTATGACATCTCTTAACAACATAACTGACAATCATATTTGAAAGTCTTTCTTCTATGTATGTATGAAATCTCTTAAAAACATGACTGACGATCATATTTAAATGTGTTTCTTGTACGTATGTTTCAAAATGAAATTCAAAAGCTGTGAGAAGCTTGTCTTTGTTCTTACTTTTTCTTGGGTAACAATGACGTGGAGGCCGATACAAGAAAAACGAAAACATTGACGTCCTCGTATGACTTAACGCGCACCTTCATAGAAGACGTCAGGGCACCAGCTGGGATGAGACTGCAGACATTGATGGAGACCAATTTCCATGGAGACAATATGCCGCACATGCGCAGAACGGCTTGGAAGAATTTTAGTCTTATCCACTAGCGGATCCAGAACTTTGGAGTGGGGGGGGGCGATTTTTTTCCAAACCCTAACCCTAACGCCCAGTAAACCCTAACCCTAAACGTGCGTACACACACACAAATATATTATATATATATATAATTGTGTGAATTATGTACTAAAATTCGTCCCCACCCCTTTCGAAAGGGGGGGGGGGGGCGATCGAGTAAGGGGGGGCGATCGTGTGGGGGGGGCGATCCCCCCTACAACCCCCCTTCGCTGGATCCGCCATTTTGGAGTGGGGGGCGATTTTTTTTTTGATCCCTGTCTCCTTGCACGATAAGCCACCAAACATGATTGCATACCAGAACTACTTTTCTTTGTTGAATATACATAGACAGACCAACAAGCCGAGATAGTGTTGACTATATTAAATAGACAATTGCTCTAGTCTGTTAAGGGAAAATTACAAAAAGTTCAATACATCTACGTGGTTTGTTAAAAAATAATTGTATAAAACTATTGTGTCAACTCTCCTTCAATAAAAACTTTTTTAACAGTCAAATATTTATGTAAAGAAACACACCAGGGGAGGAAATTAAGACGCGAACTCATACTAATTCTTCTTCTTCTTCTCATTTTTATGTTGCAGCATTCAGATGACTAGATTATTACATGAGATGAACTGCGCAGTGGTTTCCAAATCAAGGACCTCTCCATATAGTTTTCTTTCTATTGGGGTGTTTTGGGGCCAGTGTCTTGTACGGGCCTCTTGGTAAGGAGAACAGTTTTGAAGGACATGGTCAGCACACTCTGGTGATACTCGCCATGGGCAGATTTAACTGGTTCTAATTTTGAGCTTCCGGTGCATATGTTCTGTTGTATCCGGGCCTGAGTTGAAAGATTAGACGTTGATCTTGTCGGGATAGCTCATAATAAGCATCATCTTTCTTGTGATTCCAATGAGAGCTTGTTCATTTCTCATTAATTTTATTTACAATTAGTTTCTTCATTTCTTCTCGATAGATCGCAATGTTTAATTGTGTGTGTGTGTTCTCCACACTTGGAAAGTGTGTTAGCTAATGATGGTCTAATATCGGTATATATAATTCTCTTCATGGCTCAAGAGTTTGGACAAGAAGTAAAGGAAAGATCACTTTTTTTTTCTGCAGGTTGGACTAGAGTTACCCTACGAAAAAAAAAAAGGGGGGGGGAAGAACAAGTAGAATTTACCCGTCACAAAATAGCAGGGCGACACTAAACCGTTGTGACCAAGAAGTCATGGAAAGATCTCTTTTTTATTTCTACCCCACGTAGTTTTAGCGGTGAAAAGAAAAGGGGAGAGGAGAACAAGTAATCTACTCTGTATTCATCCGTCACTGAATAGCAGGGCCGGACTCAACTGTTGTGGGGCTCTATGCGAAAATGGATTTCGCGGAGCCAAGTTTGAGTAGGGATACGGATAATAAGTGAAATTTAAGAGTTTGTATTAGAAAATAATTCGTTTTTTGCATTTTATTAATTCTTTTACTACGTACAGAACTACTTTACGAACCTTATATGTAGCAATGTCATACAGTATATCATAAGAATTATGTTTCTTGCATAGATCATGCTCAATATCAAGAATTACCAAATGTTTCAATCTATCTACGAGAATTGTTGACCTCAAGTAATTCTTCATTAGTTTGAGGCGTGAGAAGCTTCTTTTCACCAGATTACACAATTACGGCTAATGCATAATGCCGTTTTTTATTTATCGCGCGGAGGATTGGGGTTTTTTCCATATTGAATGACACCCCAAAATGATAATACAGAGTTTCGGGTGAATACAGAGTAGATTACTTGTTCTCTTTTCCTCCCTCTTTTTTTTTTTCGCCGCTAACGTTACGTGGGATAACTCTAGTCCGACTTGCAGAAATAAAAGAGTGATCTTTCCATGACTACTTGGTTACAACGGTTGTCCTCTCCCCTTCCTATTTTTTTGCGCCGCTTAAGTTACGTGGGGTAATTCTAGTTTGACTTGTCCAAACTGTTAAGCCATGAAGAGAATTATATATATAGATTGAAAAATATAAGTAATATAATGAGCAGTAAAACATCGCTAATCAGTCATACTACTTACTGCGAAGTTTTAGCTTGAAACAAATGATTTTACATGAGTAATTGACATGTTTCGTTTCATAACCTTCCGAGGTTTGACTTTTGAATCTGAAGGAAGTGGGCGCTAACAGTAAGGGATTGAACAAAAAAATAAAACTAAGAAGAATTCAAAATAAATTTTTACAACTGACTCTGTCTGTCTGTCTGTCTGTCTGGTCAAAAGTTGTATTTTGCAGTCGAAAAAAATTAAATCAAAATATATACGTTTTAATTCTTACTTATAGATGTCTAAGGATTAGCATTTTTTAAATTAAACTTGTAATAGAACATAGTTTATTTGTAATGTCGTTTCGCATCCCATATGTCCGATAAAACGTAAATAAGAAAATGTCAAGAGGACAAGAAGAATTTAGCTGACCACTACCTAATGTTGGACTACTAGAAGCCCCAACACGATTTTGGATTCGTGCGATACGGTTTTAAGAATAGTAACTGACACCGACGAATTCAAATTCTATATCACATCAACAACACCTTTTCCAAGCACATCGTTTTTTTTTAAACCTTCGAGAGGAACTATATAAATGCCACATGTACTTTTTTTTACAAAGCTTATATTAACTCATTCTGTCTGTCTGTCTGACCAAAAGTTTGTACCGGTACACGTTATTTCTCCGATACCCAATCTCGGATCAAGCTGACATTTTGCACAATTATTCCATTTAACTGACAATACAAGAATCATGTTTTTTAAATTACCCAATTAGTTAATTATCTATTGGTAATAAATTACTTTGTTTGGTATCTTAAACAAGGGAAAACATAGTACTTGACTGAAGTGGTGGTATAAGCTGAATTAGTCTCCTTTATAAGTCGTCGTCGAACAGATACCTGAAAAATAGGACGAGATTATCGAAACAATATATAACTATTAAATCTTGCATATTCATAAGCTGTCCACTAGTAGAGTGGTTACGTTTTGGCTTGAGAAGCCTGAGAAGGCTTAAGCCATAAGATTCAATTCAGGTCGTTCTCCATTTTTTTGTTATTTTATAAATTCTTTAGTATTGGTAGTCTCTTCTAGTTATTGAATAGATTTTAACACAAACATTTCTCAATATTAAATAGCTTCGAGCTTCGTACTTAAAAGAACTAAATGAACAACTCATTTGAAATCAATTACACACTTTTATTTGACTTCTCGCGTCTGCTGTATGCCTGTGACGTCACTCCAGTCTCGATTATAATGTGACCAAAAAAAAAAGCGTAAATTCTCGAGGAAAAAAAAAGCACGAGAGAGAAGGTCATGCTCAAAATTAACAATATATAGGTTATTACTATTACAAAGCAGCTGAGCACGAGTATCAGAGATAGAGATACTAGAATTCATGTGCTAGTACTATTGCTGCGTGTGGGCGTGCTTAAAAATAGGCCATAAGCTCATCATCGTCTGCTTATGTTAGAATTTTTTAAAAATTGGTTTTGGAACATCTTGAAATCATCAAACAGAGTTTTGTGAAAAATCGGTGGGAACAATCAACTGGCGTAGCCGGTGGGTAGAAGTGGTTATTTAGTAGCGCTAAAAGGTTGCTAACAACATTTATACATCTCCGAATGGCGGAGAGGGGGGAGGGAGCTGCATCTAGTGGTATTTAAAATCAACTGTGTTTCATCTCTCTGGTCTCTATGCCTACTGATACTTGATCAATAGCTGAATGTCGTGAGAAGATCATTAAAGTTCTATAACTCTTTCAACGTGAGGTGTGAGTTTTTAAACTCCAGTTTATTTCTGTAGCAAACAACAGCACCGTGACACGTGATCTTGTCTTGGAGAAGGACGGTCAGCATGTACCTCACGTGGCGTGTAGATTACGCTGGAAGTTGGGCTAGAATTGGGATAACCGTGGACTCCTCCGATTCAGGTCACGTGACATCAAGCCAACAAATAGCCGCACCCTCGTTTTAGGAGAATATTGTTTGAAAACGTCGAAATTGAGACCTTGGCCCACCACGGAAGACTCTATCACCACCCACCAAGCAAGCTGTGAGTTTTCAACATGCTTGGCTATAATACAAAAAAAAATAGAAATAGAAAAGTGGTTTGAGTGCTGGGGCAAGTCCCAAAAAGCCCGTGGAGTCTGAGTGCGCGTGAGGCGCCCTGACAGCACTCCCCCGTGGTGGAGACTGTCCAGGCCTGAGCAAGCTATTATAACACAGTGCAGGACAGGCCACTGTGCTGTTGGCTTATATTTCTCACGGCTATGGCCAAATTTTAACTCACGGTGCCCCCGCTGCGGGGAAGACGAGGAAACCGTGTCTCATATTCTTTTTGAATGCCCCAGACTTGTTAATCTTCGTCTTGACAGGTCTGAGAATCCAAAAATCTCGACCTGTATGATGACATGTATGCACTACACAAAACAGCAGGGTTTCTGTCCAAGGCTTTTGCAAGAGAGGATTTGAGCCTCTCAAGCCCTCACTCAAATGGAGTTTGATGATGATGATGATGTTGATGATCAAATCTTTGTATTTTATTTTCGGTATTTTCCCAAAAAGCCGCAGATTTCTTATAAATAATTTGTTTTTAAATATCAAGAAAATAGGACTTACTGTATTTTTTAAAAATTATCTTTCTAAATGTTTTTCTTGTTTAATTCAACGTTTGTCAAACTTTCTTTACGAGAAGATATGAATGCCAAAGTGGACTTGTTTATGGCGTCCCACTGAAGCCAGAGCTAAGTGTTCCCTGTGATATACTGGCCTTCTCAGATATGTTATCGGTGAGGTCTTCTGCTCGTTACACGCCGTGTCGTGCACGGGTCAGGTATCCGGTTACAATTGTTCTCTGCCCTCTCTCTTCTCCAGGTTTTAATGAGCCTATTTGGCTAGGTGACAAATGGAATCTCTAGTTGTCAATGTTAACGCTCGGAGTTCAAATCCAGGACACCCTGCACTATGTAGGCTCTAAGTTAGTAAGTAA